AAAGTTATTTAATCATTTTAATTGAGGTTAAAATTGAAATAACTTGTCAAAAGATGTATTGAAAATATAAAATAATATTTTTTTGTAATAAAAAAATTATGTTAAAATGACACTATTTGTGAAATGGAGGGAGTAATCAACTATTGATATAATTATTACAACTCAACAAAGCAATAAGTGATTAACGTGTCTCTATAAGAGTTTTAACCTACTAGCTAGTGATTCGTATTATCCAAGAGATTTAACAAACTGACACATGCTTTCGAATGCAACAAGGGTTATTTTCAGAGTTCGATTATACATATTTGTATATAAATTAATAGAGAGTTTGCATAAATGCCTAAAATATATTATGTTTTGATATTCCATGAACTATAATATTTGATATGATTTTTTTCTTCACTCAGTGATATCATTAGCTTTAAGTGAGTTTTTTTTCCAATTGTTCTTACAAACGAAAGCAATAATCATACTTTTTTAGAACATCAATTAAGCTATTTAATTTATTCGCCTCCTATTAGCTTTTTCAAGTTACGTTTTTTTTTAAAAGAGACTATGATGATTTTACTTAACCACTAAATTTAATGGCTTCCCCTGTTTTAAGAAAAAAATCAATGCTTCAAAAGTCAAATTGTTTGCCATTGTTAGTACACATGAGTTGAATGCAATCTTATCAAAATGATTTCACTTCTGGTAAAACATAAAGTAATTGCTGCTTTTTTTTTGGCTTATAAGTATTACTTTCATTTTGAAGATTGAATTCTTAAAGGTAGAAAAAAATTTCCACGAACCTTGTTAAACGGTATCTGACCATATGATTTAGTGTTAATTGTCATATAGACTCGACCCTATGTTATTCAAACAAAAGGAAATTTGAGCCGTTTGATAGTGGATTCGTAAATCTTGAATTGAAATTATTTTAATATACTTCAAAATAAAATGCCAACAGTTTTTAATAGTGTTTTCCTAGAAGAAGATGAACCAAAAATGCAAGCCAAATAATAGAGTTATAAAAACAAGAATGCTCTTTTGTGATATCAAATTCATAATAAAACCTAATCTTGTGATATCAAATGCACACAAGAAGTATCGAAATGGTAAAATGACAACACAATTGTGGAAAATTTTAGTCGTTTTTTTGTGGACTCAGAAGACCAAGTCTTGTAAATTTAGTTATGTTCTTTATCATGAAAATCTTTTTTTTGAAGTCATGTCTTCTCTGATACTTGAAACCATAGTTTTGGAGATAACTAGAGATCGGAAAACAAACTTTGCGGTTCCACTTTGAAAGATCTTTTTCATCATGCATATTCGGATTTGAATCCATACCAAATTACGCGTATTCCCTCCGTATCATTTTAAATTATTTTCTAGGGAATTTTTTTGTTTTAAATTATATGATTTTTACAATTTTCTATACAAAACTAAATGCATTTTTGTTTAATATAATTATTAGAATTCTGCAGTTTGATTTACTATTGATTGAATTCTATTTAATTAAAATATAAATAATGTTATAATTTAGATACAATACAAAATTTAATGTTTTATTAATTTGTGTGTAAACTTTTAAAAATTTAATTATTATGATACAGAGGGATTATTATTTATTGACTTATGGTAAGAACATAAAAAATAACGTTTCCAGAGCTTGATAACACTACAATCAATGCACACCGAGAATGTGTGATTTGCTAGTGCAATTAGAACAGAAAAATCGAATCCA